AATCACACGTGGAAATCCCTACAACTTGAGACCACCACCACTACTGTACAATATTTCTGGACGTGATAAGAGACAATTAGGGCTTACGTTGCTGGCAACGTATGAAAGTTATTGAGGTTATAAAGGACAGTGAAATATATATTTTGATTTCCCATATGTAACGGCACAGAGGGAGGCTGCTCTTATGAGACATGAATGAAGCCTGAAGGTGAAAAGTACCAACGCAATAACTAGATGTTTCTTCTTTACCAGCATATATCATTTTCATAGCTGTGTTTACCATCCTGATTAATTAAGGAAAATCTATGAGGGGTTCTTTTATAATTAACTATGAGATGCACACTTCTATATTTTCCTTCTTACATCTATCGTGCCATCCTATTTTCCCCACAGGTTTTTGGCATGTTAATGTCTACTGAATAAACTTCGGCTTTGGATATTGAGAAAAGCTACTGAGTCAACTTGTTCAGTGGATAATTGAGATAGCATCGCGACTGCAGCATTCTATAAAAACCAGAGCACGATACAAAAAAAAAGAAAGCCGGAACCAGGATTTGGATAAGACAGGATTTCAGATTAAAGGAATTCAGATAAACAGGATTTTAACTGACCTTAACATTTACAGGAATGGAATATATCCCCTCGCAGATCGCTTCCCATTTAATCCCACTGTAATATCTGAAAGGTTAACAAAATACACACTGCCACAATTAACTTGAAGCACATTGACTTGTTACAGGGAGGGAACGAGCTTGCTGTGAATATCAGCCAGGCCTGTGGCTTTCCTTTCTGTAACCTGTTTGCGAGCGGGATATCTGGCTGTGAAAACAGACAGACTCGGGTCTTAGAGACAGGATGAGCAATGGCTGCGTCTGGCTTCCCAGGGAGTCCTGCTAACCTGGCTCAGGTCGAGCACAAAGGGAGCACCTCCAGAAATTAGAGGACAGGCTTGCAGCTATGACCAATTTAATTACTGAGGGTTGTACTGAGTGAACCAACTGAAGGCTATGTAGTAATAACGAGTTGGTATCTGTGAGGAAGCCATTTCTGATACAAAACATGCTGCCAGCAGCCACCTTGAGGAGAGAGGACCAAGCTGATGAGGTTTGCAGTTCAGCTTGCAAAACCCACATGGCTTAGTTGGAGCTGTAATTTCCAAAGCCACGCAGCATTACACCTAACAGAGGAACGTTGCCTCCCCATGTTCTCCCTAGCTTCTGACCCACTCAGCAAAGCTACTGGGGCAGCCGGTCCTTTTCTGTCCAGTTTCAGGTTATTTATTAAGAGGAGCCTAATTGAAATTTATGACCTTATCACTGTCACTGAGCATCCAGGAGAGGATGTTGCATCTGAGGGAGATGAGACTGATGCCTGCTTCCCCACGACCTGTTTGCTTGCAAAGGACTTCCAGGAAATGCTCCACCACGCAGCTTTTCTGTGCTTGCATTCTCTCTGCGGATTCAGTGTGTGCAAGATCCCTAATTAACCAAATGCAATTAGCACCGAAGCACTCCATTTTCATTTTAACCTGAACGTACACAAAATGACACCTCTTCCACAAATCACTAGTATGTTGGGAGCTTTAAGGTATCTGTGTGCACACATACACACATAGAGCTGCAAGCACAGGAGCGATATGCATCTAAAATGCATGGCAGACCTGGAGTAAGGGAGACCCTTATTGATCTTCAGAAAACAATCAATCAGTCTAATCAGTCAGGACTTGATCCTGTTGGGGGCTACACTTTTCCTTTTTAACCTAGCAATAGATAGGAACACGTCTTCTTTTGATTTCAAGGGTACTATTTATATATGTGAGGTTACGTGTATGCAGTATTGGTGCACGCTGGAGTTCTCCAGAGCTGAGCCCCTGTTATTGCATCCGACATTTCCTCCATGTGGAGGAAAATTCAGCTCTGCATTGCGTCAGCAGGTCACAGATCCGATTTTGGCCCACATTTGAACAAGTTTCACTTCACTTGTACCATGCGAGAGCCTTTTGCCAATGTGGTTTTGGTCTTTTAAGCACAAATGTTATGCTTGCCATGCTATCTACAAAGCCATTTGTGATACAATGTGCCTGTGTACCTGGTTGGGTAATTTTTAGCAATAACGACAGGGCACAGTCATCCTTAGATCTGATCTGTTTCTCAGAGTCTAATTTCTGCCTTTGGCTGCACATGTGCAATTCCCCACTGAACTTCATGAAAACTGTGTGTACATGTCTCTAAGCAGCTTGTTGCCAGTGTGCTTATTTATGCTTACAGCTGCTTCGCACAGCTTTGTGCTCTCCTGGCTGATATGCGGGAATCTCTTCATCATCTTCCCTCTGCCAGGTACACTCAGCTCCTGAAAATTACCTTCCCCCAGCTGGTACACACGGAAGGGCATTGTCCTGAATAATAGTCTTGATGGGTGGCAGTCATAACATAGTAAAAAGATGGTAGACTGCCATTAACTTACATTGTATGCTACTCTTTACATGCCTTTTTTCTTCTTGTCCCAGTCTTCCTCCATAATCCTACGATCTCTCGGTCTCTGAAGGTTTATATCAGTAACATCTTGAAAACCACTTTAAAGAAAATGGGTTCAATCTTCCCCTTGATCTTTACATAGGCTGACATCAAGAGGGAGTCCCACGTGTGGCATGAACATACAGAATATGCTGTTTCAGATGAAGTTTTGTGGCTATTAGGATCAGAAAGCCATGTGAATTCTCTGTCTGGTGCGAGTGGGCAGGAAAACCTTCAGATGTCCCATGATCCTGAACTTTTCTGATCTTTTTCAGGCCATGCCTAATTAGTACCAAATTCAGAAAGCAAAAATTTAAGCCTGAATTATTTATCACGTCATATTTATAAAATGCACTGCAATACACATCATGGCCCAGTTCACAACAACTACAGATAAGATTAATCTTTCACCGACGGCATACTCCTTAATATGAAAATATAATTATCTAGCTGAAGAGTTTCTTAAATTACATACTTTCAAACAAGTATGAGCAGAATTTATCCTTGTGTGTGGTGGTAAGCCAAGTGGAGAAAACATTGGAAGCAGAATTGACAAAACACGTTGGCTCTGTCTGTCTATCAGCATTTCCAGTGCACACCTTACACAGCCCTGTCAACATCTCAACTCCAACCTGGTCTCGAATACGAATGTAATATTTTCCTCCCTGAAACATGATCATGAAGAAAGGAGTTCCAGAACTGCAGGGACACACTGAAGGATAAAGTGCTTGGTTTGCAGTAAATTCCCTGCAAGTTAATACACATTTATCTTGCCAAACATGGAAATTAAAAACCAGAAGAATATCACAGAAATTATTCTTACCTTTACTTGGAGTAATTTGTATCTGCATTTGATGTACATTTACAGACGTGCATGGGATTAAGTACAGAGTATTTGTTGCAAATGCCTTTGAGAAAAAGCCACACCTTTTTAGTCCGCATTGTCTGCAAAGCACATTTTCTGCAGTTTCCTCTGGAATGCTACATCCAGAAAGATGTGCAATAAACTTGTAGAGTAAGTGTGTATAAATATATCTCTTTAATTTACTGTACTTTTAAAAAACATTTTCTCCCTTGAAGAAACTCACAGTGACTACAGGAAAGCCTACCGACTGTTACTCTGATCATCATCAATAATGCACAGTAGAGTTTTAAAGCCTGATAGATGGATATACCGATGGTAAAGAGGCTCAAAGACAGACAAATGCAGTCCAGTGAGTGAAGAATGCAAGCGGGAGGAGGGGCTATAAGTGAGCTTATGACATGGATTTTCTTGTGGGAAAAAATGCCCTTCTCGGGGATGCATGCCCAGTATCTTTGAAAAGTAGCTTTGTTGTTAGCAGTGTAGAACTTCCTATTTTTGCATTTTATTTAATTCTTAAAAGATTTTTTCCATTATACATTCTAGGTATAATTTCATTGCTTTTGCTTCATGCTTCTAGGAGCTGAGCTGCTGTGGTGATGTTCTCTCCACTAGAAACAGAAGGCATGCATTGCTTTAAAGCGTAAATGAAGGGGTGAGGTGACAGTATCCCAAATGCTGGCTGCCTGATCAGCCTGCCTTGCTCCCTACCTTCTTCCAACCTGTATTTGTTTGACAAACAATTACATTTCCCAAATGAATTGCTGTTAATACAAATGCGTTTTGATTGTCAGTGCCACTGGTGGTTCTGCAGTTATGGGCAAGAATATAAGTTTATTTCCCTCCAGGGCCTCTACAGGGAGCTGAGGGAGATTAACCAGTATTTTAGGCAGCTACGTGCGAAATACCGGTTGGGTCAATAACTTGCCCCCCTGCTGCTGTTACGCTAGCTGTCAAAAGCTGGCAAAGAGACATATCAGTATGGAGTCAAGTGCAGGTCTGATTGTACTGAGACTGCCAGCCTGGACTCTCCGACTTCACTGGATATTCCTCTCTGCCTCTGTGTAATCACGAGAACTCTTTGTCAAACCAGCATTAATCTGCTCTCCATAACTACCCTTCTGTGTGATGAGAAGCACAGGAAAATGAGAAAAGCGTAAAGACCAAGTTTTGTGACAAAGCAGGGTTTTGTACGACGGAGCAGCTGTAATGACTCTCAGCATTCAGAAAACACCTCTCTGCATCCCTAGGTACGATGGGCCTAAGAGTCACCGTACCACAACTGCACCCCCGTGGAAAGGGCCATTCAAGGAGAAAAACTCTGCAGGATTTCCAGATGATCTGCATCCCTCCTGAGGATTCTTTTTACAGAAGGCTAACATCTGGCTCCAGGTTTGGAGCCATCTTCAACTAATCTGAATACAAATTTAATGAATGCCAATTATTGTCACCATCATGAGTGATTTAAATATGGGTAAGTTCAGCTGATCTTGTCTCAATCTATTATTTAAAAGTTTGCAGTCACAAGTCCAGTGCTATAACTGATGCAACAGCAAAGCAAAACAACTCACCAAAACCCCCAGAACAAAACCCCCAAGGTTTACAAAGGCAATTGCTAATTTTACCTGTCCAGCCCGCAAGACAGCAGCAATAACCGGTGACAGGATCGCACCCGTCTGCATGGCTACAGTCACAACGTTCACTGCAATTAAGGCCATATGTTCCATCCTTCCAAAAATATAAATAAAAAAGTCTCTCAGTAATCAGTTTTTGTTCTAAAATGTGCAAAATCATCTATCATGTCCCTCTTAATGCTGAGTTGCATTTTTAAAATTAACATACAGAGAAGATAGAAACAACTCAGTGCCTAACATTTCTATATAGAACCAAATGAGGAATCATTTTAAAAAATGATGTTCAAGAAAATGCAGATAACATGGCAATAGCTCCGATATAAAATATAATGCAAAGTATAATACATCTACTTGACTGCTGGATCCCCAATCTGTTATTTACACATGATTTCCTTCAGATATCCATAGACAAAGTGAGACACTGACCTATGGTACACTTAGAAGATCTATGTGCACTGTGGCTTTAAAGGGGATGCAAGACCATCCCGGTCGTACTTACAGGGCACGGCTGGTCGCAGTACTCCCCTTGCCATCCAGGGGAGCAGAGACAAAAGCCATCAGCCGGCCTGCAGGCTGCTCCGTTTGTGCAGTAACATGTCTGGTTACAGTTAAGACCCCAGCTTCCACTTGAACATGGAATAGAGCAATCCACTCCTTGCCACCCTAAAGAAACATACGAGAGAAACGGCATTTGAGATGTTTTCATGAAAAAAGCAGGGTAGAGTCAGCAAGAAAGGCAGCTTGCAAACGGCAGATCTTTGATTCTAGGACCAGTTTCCTCCTGATCTTCGTGTAAATTAAGACTACCTTGGGGTCAAAGATTGACCCTTTAATTATGACCTCCCGACTTCATCTACCAGCATCTATATGTACAGAAGGGCAACATAGGTATCGCTGTGTTGGCTGTTTAACAGATTAAGGCGTTTGACGCCTCTCCAGAATCTGCTCGGGCAGCAAGAGAGCGCAGTAGTGTCTGGCAGGCTGGAGACCTGCTGATCAGCGAGAATGCAAGAAACTTGCCATTCCATGCTGCCTGTTTCTTCCCTCATATTTTTTTGAGAACACTCTTTAATATAAAGAAGCTATTACACCTAAAAAAGGACCAAGGCCATAATTTCTAACCATTAAGGCTCAAATCTTAACTACCCGCCGCACAATGGCTTTCATTACACTGCAGCTGTATGTAATGGAGTTGAGCAGTAACTCATGGTTTATACACCGTCATTAAATGGGGTTCTACAGTGATCCATTAATTCATGTTTGAAATGCCAGATTTTATCGTTATTTGCCTCACTTCTGTTTTAGGGCTTATGCAAGCCACACAGGCATAGCTCATGTTGGTGTTCTGGGGGAGGGCACCGCTACACAGGGAATGTAAGAGGTACTGTGCTATGGAGCGGTACAAGATTTCTCAAGTGATTACAGGATACATGGGTTACGCTCACTATCAATCACATAAGGGAGTTATGGACACGTGTGTGGGAAGAGAAGACTCTTGCAGACAGGCTCCGGAGCAAGCAAGACTTCTTGTTTCCCCAGACAAAGGACAGCCACATCCTGCAACCCCATGCCAGCTCGGGGAGCAGAGGATACCTGCACATGGCTGGAGTGTCACAGTGTCAGGGTACAGCAAGGACGAGGAGCTGAGGAAGGCAACAAGGGCAGACAGCCAGGGCCCACCCCACAGTCCCCAAGTGTAGGGTTGGCAGCCAGGCTCGGCCAGGAGCCCAGACCACCAGGAAAGCCTATGGGAATGAGACCAGTCCAAGGTTGAGACAGGCAGTTGGTCTGCAGGTCGAGGTCAGGTCTGGTGAGGATGACCACAGCTGGGCACAGCCCAGTGCAATGGGCTAAAGAAAAGACAGGCAGGAGCCTGCCTCTGCTCCCTGGCCCAGTTGTGTCAGCCTAGGCATGGAGGGGAGAACAGGGGCTTTTGAGTGCTGGAGAAATGGGGCAGCAAAGGGACAGAGTGAAAACCCCAACAGTCTGGGGATTGCTTTGCAGTTCCTTTGGAGAGGAGCTGTGGCTCTGCCAGCACACTTAGTTCTGTGACCTGTTCTTGCAGCAGAGCAGTTAAGCCTGGCCCCTGTTCAGGGCAGAGACAAAACATACAGTCAAGCCCCTGTTGAGTTTTGATACTCAGGCAGACTGTTGAATTACTGACAGGCACAAGAAAATAGTGGAGTTACTGACTGCACAGCTGTGCCACTTTAAAAGGGGAGAAGCATTGATGCCAAATTGTAGACAATTGTTAAATCTGAATTTTGTTTACCTTCTTTGCAATAGCACAGACCATCCACAGGGGAACATGCGCCATCATTTTTGCAATTACAAACTGATGAGCAATTGGTACCGTAGGTTCCTGCCATGCAGGTAATGGTGCAGTCATCTCCCTGCAAACCAAAAAAAGTCAGAGTCAGCTAAAGAAATTTGAATTGCAGGAAATTCCCATCTCTGCACAGGGAGGCTTTCTCTTTCGAAACAGTGAACAGAGTGTTATGAGTTGATTGCTGACTCTTCAGCACTTGAGCAGCCACCACTGCTTCCCATGATTACGATGCAATTAGTGCTTTGATTGACTTGGAGGAAAGGGACAAGTTTCTGGCATTCATTCAGCAGG